TTTATGGTAGTAAAGAGCTCTGTATCAGGAGATAGTGTGAACTGCAGCAGATCCGACTCCTACATAATATACTTTTGCAGACATGGTACAATGTTATTCCCTCTTGTTGCTGTTGTCGTAGACAATGGTACAGTCTAATGTTGTGTTGGAGGGAGCTGATTGAATGGCTTATAAATTTTCCAGAGACCAAGCTAACGTCAGCACTTGCTAACCGACCAATTTACTTTGAGCATAGAGTAGCGTCCTCTATTTGCTGATGTCACCTAAGTAACTGGAGGAGAGTAAGGCTGCTGGAAGTTTTAGCGTAGCCATATGTCTGCTTTTCCATCCATGATATCACACGTGATGTGGCTTTTTAGCATAAAGCAATCAATTGGACCACACAACACCCGCATCCATATTTATTTAGCAGCATGAGCATAGAGTAGCGTCCTCTATTTGCTGATGTCACCTAAGTAACTGGAGGAGAGTAAGGCTGCTGGAAGTTTTAGCGTAGCCATATGTCTGCTTTTCCATCCATGATATCACACGTGATGTGGCTTTTTAGCATAAAGCAATCAATTGGACCACACAACACCCGCATCCATATTTAATTTAGCAGCAACTTTGCACGATAATTTGAAACGATATTGGGCTAGATAGTTCATGCAACCTTGTCCTCAATAAGCTGCATTCTCACCGAGCCGACTGGGGTGTACTTTTTGGCTTATGGTCTTAAGGGCACATTAGTCCGCTCTACTCAGTCGTTTCTGCTCAATTTAGTGTGAGTTTGTCTGTTGCATTACTGAGCTACTTGTCAAGGAACTGGGCTTCAAAGAGCGATTATTCGAGATAATCATATCCATCAGCCAAACAAGGTAGTTCTATGTCGCAACGTAGGACAGTCTTTTGAAGGAATATCTTCCGTTGTTTGTTACTGCAAAAGACTATATAATTATGAAAAGTAGTTAAATCCGTCCATACAACTTTTCTACTTGTAAGGTTCACCTTAAGTTTTTGAGGATACATCAGAAATAAATTGTACATGTGTTTGCTCGCAACCGGTAGAAGCGTATAGATATCTGGGTTAGATCGATCAGTCGAGGCGTATAATATACTAGTCTGTGTGCGTTCCAAGGGTCATTCTTGGAAGCGTACAGTTGCTGCCGAAAAGAAAACCTCAATCGGTCCTTAGTGAGGAGTATCAGGTAAGTAAGAGTAAGAGTATGATAAACTCAACTTCCCAAACTCCATTCACAACCCGATATCTGGTGCGGAACAGTCAATGGGCTTTCTGAATAGGTGGATACACGCCACTCATGCTCTAACCAGCACTCCTGAGTTAATGCTGTCACCTTGTCGTTGTGGTCAGGCTTATGCGCTTAAGTGCTTCTGCTGGTTATACTGGCTTAAACTCGATTTCTGAAGATTCACCCATAAAAAAATCAACCTGGTTGCAGCCCGACGAAGAACACGGTCTCCGTACTGCCGGAAGATCATATTAAGGGGCGATCTGGGGATAAGGTCCTTTTTCCCAATTCGATAGGAATGTGAAGGCAGTGGGATGAGTCTTTTAGGCTATTAGCATATCCATATTTAAGGAGGTGGCAATGCTCCCTTCATCCAAGGCAGGACAGACTAGAAAGCATCAGCCCTAAATAGCGCACACTTCTGTCTTCCAATATTTGGTCGTTACCACACGCGCATCCTTCAGGACGGTCGTAATACTGTTGAAACTAAATAGAATGGTAGTGCTTAGGACGCCCCTGCTGTGTGTAGCTGCTTAAGGACTCAGAGAGCCCTGTTTTATTCCCTGCGCTCTAGAACATGGCAAGTCCCTTGCAGACAAGTGAGTCAGTCATTTGTTCCGTGAGGAGCCTCTCAAAAAAATCTAACAACCGCTGCCTAGTTGTACAGACTTTCGAGACTAGGAGCAGAGTCCTCGAGAAAAACCTTACTTTCCCCAATGTCTTGTAAGTCAGATGTTTGAGTCGAAAGCTCGGGGTGGTGTGCTTCAGTCAACCCCTTCTATTCCATAATAACAGGACAGTATCATTTACGCTTGAAGGTCTTCGTTTACCGACTTCTTTCCACAACTCCGTCGCCCGAGTCCTTGTGACTTATTTAGCTGTCATTCAATTAACAGGTGCTTCGTTTTTTATTAAACTTCTGTCCGGTAAAACAAACGGTAGTAGACTTTTTTAAAGTTCAATGGATTTGCTAGACAGTGCTGCTTTCAAAGTTTGTACTCTTTGCTGAACTGGACAACAGACAGCTATTGCTCAGATCCCGTTCTCTCTTGTGTGTCTCCAACACAAGCATACAAGATCTCGATCCGGTCAGTCATATCCAAGCGCTCAGGGTGAACTAAAATTCCTCACACTTTTCTCTTCGGATGTCTAGGTGACGCTGATGCAATGGATCTTGGGGTCTATGTTGTGGTAGTTAGGCTTAAGTGAATGAACCCTACTGCATTGGATTTCTGTAAACAGTCATCGTCCCGCCCTTAGTTTTCCCGCTTCAATCATGCTCAACACATCCTGACATGCAAAACGGTGTTTGCTTATTGTGTCAGCATACGCAGTAACTGAGGACAGCCACGAAGCTGAGAAATTCGGCTCCTATCCTGATTTGTCACGGTTACTTAGGTGAGAGAGGAAGTGGTTCTGGCTGGTCACATGACTGCCAAGGCTGACCGACCAGTCCTGATGAAACCCATCTTGACTGCCTGTTCGAGTTGGCGCACACCTTACAGATAATGAAGAACGATTTCTTCAGCTACTTTCTGAACATCCTTTGCTTCTAACTGCCACGAACTGCACAATTGCTCAAGTCGTGTACTTGGGGGCCACCAACTACAAACCAACCGTGGACCCAGTTGACCATAATTAATAATTTACAGATGGATATCTTCGATACAATATTTTTGTTAATTTTCAATACACCATTGGATTCCTGTCATATCTTGTGAGGGTACGAGTATCTATTCCCTTTCTTTTAAAACACGCCAGTTGATACACAGTCATTCAGTTCACTTACAACAATTCTCCGTAGCTCAACGCTCTCCGGCCGAGTTAGCTGAAGTGCTTTTCACGCTCAACTTGTACAATCGCTGTAATGGTGATCTGAAAGCATATTGAATAAAGATGAAAGAAGCCATACTTCCAGTTTTTGAAACTGTCTACCCAGGACGATTCGCACACCCCGAGTAAACGCTGGGGCTCTCCATGATCAGCAGCTCCAATTGAAGCCAGAGAAACAAGACCAGCAACGAATGAACTGATGGGACTATGATGACCAACAAAGGGACTAAGAATTGACGGACAGATGGCAAAAGCCTTGAAAATTGACGCTTTTGCAAGAACAATCGCATCTTGTTCAAGCTAATCCGATCCATTGGTCCTAGGAGATTTGGTGCTAGTGAGACTATTTTAGAAAATGATAAGACCTTAATCCATTCACAGAAAAGTATCTGGTTTGTACATTTTGAAGGACAGTTCAGCTAGACTCCATCAAGTTAACCTCCGGAGGGCATAAACACAAGAGGAACGTCGACGTCATTCCGTCATCGGCTACGGAAGACTGACGCTCAAATTCATTGTTTCAGTACAGTAAAACGACTGGTCTATAAGACTGCACTCTCCAGAGAAGGCGGCGAGTCCGTCATAGCTAAGCCAAAGACCACTTTGAAATATCTAGAGTGAGGGCAAATTCCAACAAAACGGAGCGCCTCTAAGATGACTCACAAAATTATTCACGAAAATTTTGAGTGAGCCGCTCTACCTCCTATCACATCAGTTCTGGACTACCTGTATTGACGGGTTACCTAATCAGTGCCTAAGCCTAAAACTTAGAAATTATCAGGTACTTCTTGAGTTGTACGGGAAAAGTAGCAGTGATAATGAAGTCAGATTGCTAAACCACTTGAAGTCACGTACTCCATCCGCCAAAGTTGGGTCAGCAACTGCTTGGTATGGGGGTTGAGAATGTGGAATTTTAGCAGAAACTTCATCTGATTGGATCTGTCTACGTCTACCAAAGGTCCCAATCAGAACACAAACCAATTACAACTACTGTTTCAGGATAGACTATCCGAGCATTAGTTTTAATAACTTTAGGCCAGCCCACTCTATTTAAGAACTCAAGACCGTTATATCCACAAAATAGCAGTCAGATTACTGACACATTCGAACGCACCCGTTATGTGGAGCAAATAAGCCAACGCAAAACTGAGGCAGGCAACCGCCTGGTGTCCGTCAGGATTGTGAAATTCGATTCTGTGCATCCACTTGGTATTTTTCAACAAGGACTGCTTTTCCAAGAACAAATACATGTTATTCGCATTAGTATGTAGTGCCCGGTAAAATGTCTCTTGGAAACGAAGGACGGTTCTCATAGGTTTTGGGTTGCATGACAGGGTGATACGGCTGGACTTTTAAATTTCACCTTCTACGCCTGTAAAGCACCGGTATGAAGAGTATTTGCGTCACAGCATTCACTCGCCATGACGTTGAGAAGGTTGAGGCGCAAACTAACTGTCCCAAAGATACATATTTCAAAACCAATCCCCGGCATCTCGACTGCTTCTATTTAGGTTTGGTCAGCATGACAGTATCTCACCCTAGTACTTCCTTTCGGTGGCACGGTAGCTGTGCACTTGAGAAGTGCCAGAACTTATTGATTAGCGTGTTTATTTCTTCAGCAAAGTTAAATGACCAATTTGAGTCGAAGTCCTTTGTTGCAACGATATTTGGTATGTTATTTAGAAGTCTAAGAAGGAAAACTGCCTGTCCATTCGGGTACTTATAGTTGCTGTGCAATTCACAATCAGGAGTCCCTGTAGAACATTTACGTCCGCAGGTTAGGTTTGAATAACAAGGCTACAGTGACTGCCCCCTAATGCTAAAATGTGTTTTTTCGTCAACACTGAAAAGTATAAAATGTATGAGATACTGACTGCCGTTTATGAACCGACAGCTCTGTTTTCATCTCGCTTAATGACATGTCATAGCAAAGCGAGATGCTGATTAAAAAGAGTGTATAGGTAAAATCTACATTGGGTCATTGACATTATACTTTTTAGAAAAATCAAACAGTCGTTTTTCTCATAACATGAAAACGTCTTCGCATTTAAGCGTGCGCAAACCGTGTGAAATGTGATGACAGTAAATCTTCAACGTGAATAGCTCAGTTGATTTTGTCAAAATTGCACATAAGAGACAATAATGTCTTCGCATTTACGCGTGCGCAAACCGTGTGAAATGTGATAACATTAAATCTTCAACATGAATAGCTCAGTTGATTTTCAAAATTGCACATAAGGGACAATGTACTTGTTCTCAGGAAAAGAACAGCCAAATATTAGCTAGTTTTTGTTTTTAATCCGACTAATGGAAACGGTTTCGGTGAAAAAATCTCAAGCTACTGATGTTTTCTCCGGCAAAGCTTTCAATATTGCCTATTAAGCCCTGACTAGGTACAAAACTGTAAGGAGTAGTAGGCTTGATCCGGATACGTGCAGCAGCGGTCCTGTTTTTGGTAGCACTGCTCCATTACAGAGATCGGTTTTGCAGTGACAATAGCGCATTCTAACTCCTTTAACCCCAAGACGATCGATGCAGCCATCCTGATTCACGATGTTGCTACACTGCCTGATCACAGAGTCTTCGTTGTCAACTGCAAACAAAGAGTGAAATGCATGAGATTAAGGGAGATTTCTGAACATAGTGAAAAGGGGCAACAAAAAAGCTACCATCATCGGTTTTTGTAGCTTCTGTCCAACAGACATTGCCCACAGGGTTCGACCCAGTCAGCCTTCATTTGGAGTGGTCCTTTCGTAGGTTGACCATCTTTAACTCTGTTGTTGGCACCCGTCAACTCATGTATCTTGCCTTCTAGTGAAACCCCAATGAACCACTGTATCCATTGATATAATTTACGCCTCTCTCTTTTCAAGTCTGCTATTCAATGGTTCCTTAGAGGAACTAAGCCACACTATGGAACGTTCCATTTGTAACCAACCGCTCCACAAAAACAGAATCAAAAGACTGCAAAAGCCTCCACTAAGGTCATTGCTGGGACCGTCAAACATGCTGAATAATGGGAACAAATTTTGATTTCCAGAGTGACTTACTACAACAATGACCGCTTTGCCGGCATTTTAGGAATTCAGCGACAACATACCTACTCTTGCTGTCGGGACAGAAACAAGGACTGTTCATACAATTCGCATCCTGCGGACACTTGGCGCTTCAAGTACAGCAATATTGGTCTTTTGATGCTTCTTCAGAGGATGAAAGCCGTAGACAAGTTGCACTAGGAGAAAGGAATGACCTCTCTCTGGTGCAGCACACACGAGTGCTCCAAGAGTAAGCAAATGGTTCGAATAATCCAGTATGTATTGTAAAAATTTGGTTTCGAATCACTGAGATTTAACCTCTTGTAAGGGATATTAAAGCGGAAAACCAAGTTTCAGCACAAAACTCACTATCAACAGGATTTTCGCATTTTCGCTGAAACCAACTTTCAACAAAATAAATGCGGCCACGTGCTCACACTTGCACGCAACTGTGTGAAACTGGCTGCTGATCATCACCCTCTTGAACGATCGGCTGGAGACAAACGATCCCACTTGCTTTTGTATTTAACATGAAGCAACTTCGGTGGTGACAACTGTGATTCAGCCACAAAATGTGGGCCACCTAAACCTTCAAAAGGCATAAGAATGTCATGGCTATCGAAAATTTATCCCGGTGTTGGCGTAGAAAGTAAAATCATGAACACATTGCATTCCTGTCGCCCAATTTTCGGAAGGAATGATAGGACCACATAGTAGTACTTTCCAAATGACTTCGGTTACTATCCCATTATACAAGTTCCTGTTCGTATCAAACCGACACCTGTGATGAATCGCACCGGAGTCTGAGATGATCGAAACGCAATTGTGAAACTTGGATAATAACTGAATGACATGGTGAATAAGTATGGCCACATGTGGAGACCATGTAAATTCATGTTGGTTAACCACACTCTAAACGTAGGAAAAATGCAACCCAAATGGACATAGCTAATTAAATTTTAGATTGTAGTTAATATACCAGTAGTGCATTGGTCACGAAAGTCCCTCTATAAATTCACGACAGCCACGTCTAGCAACATCTGTGTTGTCGAAAAAATAATCCGACATATGTCGTAAGTTGTTCATGCCTATAAGACCACAGTTATCCATGCCATAGGTCCCTTGTGTAAGCGAGCCTGAATTCGTATTCGGACTAAGAAAATACCACTGAAGGGTCAGAGTAACTTCACACGTGTTTAAATGCTGACCTCTTAAATACTGCCCAAATATTCACGCAAAATCAGTAGCAAACCATTCATATTTGTTCTCCTGGTTATAGCCTTGTGTAGACGTTTCGTATGACCGACAGACCCAGTAAAACTCACTGAGACGCGAAACAAAAATTTCCACCGGATTCAGTCATCTGTTTCCGACAGCGCTGTAAAAGTAGGGTGCGATCAGGGACGCTTGTTCGGCCTGAACTTGTTCCAATGACACAATGGTGCGGTCGATCAAATCCAGTTTGTTTGTTCCATGGGCGCGTGGTCTGTAGCCTTTTAGCAGTAGTTCGCATGGGCAGAGTAGTCGAAGCGGGAAACTTCAGTGAAGCATGACGGAAAGTGAACAATGACCAATCTCGAAATCAACACGCTAGTAAGCCATTGGGTTTTAATCTCATGCGTCATGTTGTTCTTGTCACTCATCTGGTACACCTGTATATAAAGTTAATACTTTACATCTGCCGGTTTATCGTGGTTCACTACAAGCTTCCAATCTCATGCTGCCTCACCCATGCAACCTAGTGCTGAGAGGCTGTACACTACGCGGCCTTTGAACAAGCCATCTGGGTTCGATCAATCGCGCCAGTTGAAATAGGTCTACGTAAAACAAATACCCAAAATTACGTACTGCTGTTGTATCGCTGTGGGTAACGGGTGTCTTAATACAGTCCAGGCAATTGTTACGAGGCCTTTGGGGTCGATCACAGGGTACTTTGGAATTCTCAAACCTGAATGAAGATATTTAATCACATCAGTAATGTGCAGTCAGGAGAGATCACCGCAGAACTGTGCTGCTTGGCCAATTTACATTTAACTTTGTGTCACCTATATCAAATAGAATAGTTTGCCTTCAGAAAAGATTTGGTGAATAAAAGAAGGAACTTCCTATCACATTATTGTTCTTCTTCAATTGAAATGACTAATTTGGCGTCTGAGACGTGCGCATTATAACAGAAAAACTTCAAAATATGTCAGTCGACCTCAGTAACCACTTTGGAAGACATTCACTTAAAGTAGCTCCGACATCGTACTGCTTATTTTTGGTTGAACCTACCCTTGCGTTCAATCGCTTGGTTGGTAGACTTTTGAGAAAGATACCACTCTGGTTATAGAGCAAATGAGTGGTTCTTTTCAGTAGCTCCTTGCCTTACCTTACCGATACAGTACGTACAGACACTAGTCTAATTTATAATACCTACGTGGCGTTGTACATTATACTGGACACTCAGTATCTACATTATGGTGATTCGAGGCAGCGATGAGCTGTCTCTGCTTATATCCTGGGAAATATTCTGTGATTCGAATGCAACAATATCGATGTATTTCCAGTTCATTACGGGAAACTAGACGGCTAAACTTTATAGTACTCAAGCGTTTTTCGGTTTGTCCTTGTTGTTTTTGTGTTCCACCCAATGAAGACCTCGGGTTTTGACTTAAATGACACGCAGTCAAACGTTAAACTCGTGCTAATCACTATCAGCCTTGTGCATTTACCTACGTTGGAACTGAGTCTCTCTGCATAGAACATTTAGTCTGATCTAGCATCGGAAGTGGACGGTCCGGACGGCATTTCCTCTTGCTGCGAGTCACTTGACCAAGGTAGATTCACTCAGCGTATGTCCGCGATCGTCCTACCCAGGCCAAGGCTGTTCCATCCCCTGTGTGGTTCTTTGTCGGCCCGTATCTGCTCGTGTCTAGTTTAAGCGCAGTTCACACAAACCTCGATGTGGACAGTGCGCGCCATAGTGTGCAGTCTTCAGTAGTTCAGTCGTTCCTTCCGACTTTGAATACTTAGTCCTCTGCCCCTTTTACGTGCCGCTAGGCTCGTTCTTGAGGCCACCACAGTAACTGTGATAATATTATTCTATAGCCCTCCGAATCGCGACCGATTGTTATGTATGGTCCTATATCCGTATTTGTGCTGTAAACGAACTAGCGTTTTTCGAACTATACCGTGGTTCCTACAACTCCATATGCCATTTGTCACAGTCCTGTAGTCTGCGTCGTTCGTGATGTCCTGACTGTTGCTGTTGACTGTGTGGAAATGCAGGAGAGTGTCCGAAACCTCTTTTAACCTTGGAATTGTCCATTTAGAGCAGTTTTAGGCACAAATTTGTTATTATTAAATATGCCACAACTTATTAAACGTTCAGGCAGTGTTGTGCCAATAAGCAGAAATGCTTGCGCAATTTTCTTGGATTATGGCAAGAGTTTTCGGAACTAAAGCATCTTGGTAAACTTCATTAAAATAGTGACCACTGTGTACAGCAGAGGGGAGAAAATAGTGGAATACTAGAAAAGTCCGACGGGATAAACGAAACCCACGACTACAAACAGGCCAAAATGTACAATCGGGCCGTATAGTACTGGTGGAAGGAACAACGGTATCTGTCTTTTCATAACTCATTTATCAGTTTTAGTGTTTTAATCGAAATTCGCTAGTCGTCGATGAGGATGGATACTACCTCTTGTATTGCGTTCACCCATATTTACCAGTCGTCATGTGAACAAATAAAAAAGTAAAGTGACCCCTTGCTATTCTTGAATTGCTGAAGGAGCTGGAGGACCAGTGTCTTCTTAGACAATTAGCGCATTTGCTGAATAAACCAAAACGAGAGAAATAAAGTGAACACTTATTAAATTCTGGTCAAAGTCATGATCATCAAGCGTGCTGTCTTACCAGTTTGGTCAATTTTGCGACAAGACATTGGTTTGCTTGAATTTATGTGAGGTTCTTGGGAGCAATCCTTTATCAGACTGAACTGGTCCCATTCCGAGCATAATTTCCCACTTGTGTAGGAATCACAGACAACGCATTCAAGGGCGGTGGCTGAAATGAGGAAAGAACGCAATAGCCTTGCTGAACTGAACGGTACTTCCCCCAGCGTTTTGATTCGGAAGTTAAATATACTTTCCTTACTTGATTCTAAAATACTTCCACAAAAGACAAAAAGTAGGGGTGCGAAAATCACATCCTTTCTCCATCCACCGTGCATGTTTGGTTACCACGACAGTAACATATGGGTGGTTACACTGGATTTTTACTGCTTCCGCAGAATATCGATTCAAACCTCTACCCCAGCGTTAGAGGACAAACCAGGGAATACTAATTCCTGGTTGGTTAAATAAACCATACTGGGATCGATCGATTGGGCCGACCAATCACATGGAAGTTTGTCAGAAGTGGGCTAAATCCTCGCCTTATGCACATGTGTTACGAGTAAAGTATTCTGTCAATGTCTTCACTACACCGAGTTCTGAATTGTCGCTATTCAGTCTTCATTAGCCCATATACTAAGAGAGCTTGGAAAAGATAAAATCCGGGCAAAATGTAGGGTTGCGATATGCTTCTCCGCTGTCACATAAAATAGAGCCTTCGGTCACGCCCAGATAATTGTGTGATTCAACCGAATCTCAGCCGAGACTCGCGCATGTGTGTTGCGCGAAGGCAGCCTCATGTCTCACTTGGAACGAACTTCCGGATATTAGTATCTATTACTTGACAAAACAATACTTACGTGGCTGATGAATACTCCTGTTTTAGTCATTTTGGGGTTGGTCATGTTGGTCTACACCTGGAATCTCCAACAATCTCACTTCTTAGTTTAACATTGAATCGGATTAACGTGCGCGTGGGCCAAATGAATCTCACCTGAATTTATTGCTTACAATATTCTCCGCTCAAACCTAGTACACAAAGGCCGTCTAATGCTTCTGTTGGAACGATATTTAAAATATTGAAGTAGTTCTCTCCGGTTCGTCTGATGAAAATCATAAGTGAGTGATCCAGTCGAGATTCGTTCGGGTGATCAGATGTGGAAGTCTTGTGCATAAATATGATGAGATCCGGTCCCCATCTCTTCCTTGAGCCTGTTTCAAAAGGTCTCCCGTATGCCATTTACACTGATAAACCTATCTAACTGTACTTGTCTTATAAGTACACACGATAGCTTTTGCATCTAGTAATAGAAGCAGAGTCCAATTATCTGGCTTCCACTGAGAGACACTTATCTTGAAAAAAGCCCACAAATCTCCACGGTATTTTCACTTGGAGCAAAAAATAAAAGAAATGTTTAGGCTTCACTTCTTCCTTGAGATTTATAATTTGGACGTAACTCCCAGACTGCACGTGGTTCCCATTCTCTCCCTCCCCAACTGAAACGTGAAACCTTTGTGCGACACATTCAGGAATTTTGAGTCAGGTTAAGTTCACTTACCCATTGGAATAAACCTAATATTCAAATGGGTGTATTGCTTCATTTTTTACGGTACTCATGAGCTGGGCACTAGCAACTTTGGACCATTCTAACTTGGAATATCTACTAAGCTTGGCACTTATTTCTAAACTGTTCTTCACATTTAACTGAGGTCGTATCCGCGCAGAGCTTGATGACTTGGAGGAAAAAAACAAATATCAATGGGTTGGTTTGAAAGGAGTAAAGTCAAATCAGTAGGGTTTGGTTAAGTCAACTAATGTCAGCGAAGTTGGCCATGCCCGGTCAGTCTGCACGCAGTTAACCGCATTAGTAGGATGTGGACTGTGAAAGGAAACAGTAGAATTTAGCTGACCTAAGAAGACGGAAGCCTAACAAACCTCTACTCACCAACACTGTCTTTGCCCGTGAACTTGGTGGGATACTACCGAGCAGATAATGACGCACTGAGACTAAGGAAACAGTAGAATTTAGCTGACCTAAGCCGACGGAAGCCTAACAAACCTCTACTGACCAACACTGCCTTTGCCCGTGAACTTGGTGGGCTACTACCGAGCAGAAAATGACGCACTGAGACCAAACAAAGTCTCACACCAAAAATCTGGATTTATATGGTACACAAATCTGCTTATCTGACTATATTTGCCCCTGACAAAAGTTAGGCAGCTAATGAGGTCTATAAGTTGCAGATATATGGAGGAAGCCTGTTGCTTGTACTCTACCAATGGTAACGCGCAGCTGACTGCCTCAGACGAACGTAGCTTCCTAATAAAATTTCACATAATGATGTCCGCTGAGTTTCTGGTTCCACTATTATCGTGGGTCACAACGGATTCATTACTTTATGTTCCTTTGTCTACTTTTGCTTATACCACAAGCAGGAATGCGTAATCAAAGCTGGTAACTCCAAACATGCTG